TTTGTATTATTTTATTAGGAAATTTTTATGGGATATGACAAAAAAAATCGAAATTTTACATCTGAAAAAATCATATTCTATGTAAATTTTCGGATGAAAAATTACATGTGGTATGATTTTTTTGGATGTAAATTTTCGATTGTAAAATTTCTCCCAACTTTTTTACAAGTTCGATTGTGCCCACTAACTTTAATTGTCTGCGTCCGCCACTGTTTCCCTTCACTAATTCTATCCATTAGGATGTCAAGTTATTAGCCTGATGACGAGGGATGGGTAGCAAAATCACTAACACGGTGTCAACGCAGTTGGTTTTCACAGAGAGGAAGATAAGAAAGGTATCAAACATAATTAGCCATAACACGAGCTTAGACGCACCAAAGAAATTTGTTGGTTCTAGCATGTAAGACATTCGTATGCGCTGCATGACAGCATGAGATTTGTGAGATATCTTTTGTTTAAATATTTAAATAATTATACTACAAAAAAAACCGATAAAAGTATTTACAACAAATTGATTAAATTATTGTAATCAGAACCGTGAAAATTGCCCACAATAGTTTTTTAAACTTATTATTCATCATTTAATTAGTAATTTTTAACTATAATTTCAAAATTTATGTTATACAAGTCCATTACCAAACATCGGGCTTTCACTATTCAAATGATGCATGATCTCCACTTACCTTCCTCGTCTCAATTCCAAGCCAACTCTTCCACTTCGACCACAATTTCATCCTCCAAAATTCAAGCGCACAAGGAAGATAAATGTAAAAAGCAAAAATGTCTTCTTATCCTACATCCTATATAAATAAAAGACTCACTTTTCCAATACTGTTCATAAGCCTGGCCGACTTCCCTTAGCCGTGTAGCCGTTTAAGCCGAGTGAGCCCTTTGGGAAAAAAATGACAAAAACGCAACTCGACATTGGGTTTCCTATTTTCTCTGCGTTAACCCTAATTTCTCTCGCTCTCTCTTCTCTCTCGACCCTAATTGCTTTTGCTCTCTCTTCTCTCTCGACAATCAACAAATCTCTGCCTTCGTCGCCACCGTATCAACAAATTCCAAACGCAACTTGACTTTGGGTTCAATTCCTTCCTCTTCTATATATTGCTTCTGGTTTTTATTGTTTAGTCTATTCTGTCATTTCATTATTTATTTTTTTGTTTGATCTTCGAAGAGGTCAAACCCAAAATAAGTGAAGTCGTGTTTTCAGAAGCTGTCAATTTGGAATAATAAAAATAGTGTTGATATTATTCATTTATGAAATTATCTGAAATTTGGTCCTTCTTCTAACAATTTCTTCTTGATGGGGGCATTACAATTTCATTTCCTTTAGTTAGCTTTGTTTGTGACTAACGGGAGAAAATGTTAATTATATAATATGCAACATGGGGTTTTGTTCTACTGTCAAGAGCACTGAGAAGGCTGCTATGAAGAGTACTAAAAGTTTTGTTCTCTATGTATTTTTTTCATTTTCTAAAATCTTCACTATCATTTGATTGTTTATAATTCGAAAAAAAAAATTACTACACATAGTTTTCAATAGTAACGATTATGTTGAACGAGAAATAAAAATTTTGGGCTTTATGTATTTGTTTCAGTTGGTATTCCACTCTTAGCTACACGATCTGCATTTCTTTCTCCTCGCCGTTCTTTCTCATCCTGCATTTTGGTTCTTATTTTTAAATTTTGATTTTGATTTAGGGTATTGATTTGGTCGCTGTAGGTAAGAACAAGAAGACCAAGCGCATTGCTTTGAGGTCTGATGATATTTACAGCAAACTCCTTGTGAAGGTTTTTTTATCCTTCTTATTTATTTTGCAACTGAATTTTCCGTGCTGAAATCACATAATGAGTAGAGGGTCTATATGATATGATCTAACATGTTTGTGTGTGAGAGGACAGTTGTATCGATTTCTGTTGAAGAGGATTGGAAGCAATATTGAAACATATTTATTTAGGCATTTTTGCATGTTGTTTACGCCATTCTGCACTGAAATACTTTGTTTGGGAAATTTACAATTTTCTGTATAGTTCATTGATGAGATTTGTTTTGTGGGCATTCGCATTTGACTC